GGGTTTATGGGTTTATGGGTTTATGGTTTAGGGTTTAGGGTTTAGGGCAACTTTCTGTATTGAGGGCCTTGATGTCCAGATGCGCTCTATAGGCCTAGCCCGAAACCCTGAATCCCTTGTAAAGGGAGGTGGGTTCATACTCAGGAGGGGCCTCTACATGATTTCCAGGATCTTCTCTCAGGTATGGCTCGGGAGTGAGGGTCTTCGGGGTGTTGGAGTTGAGGGCTTAGGGCTTAGGGCGGTTTGCGGCTTGGGGCTTAGGGCTTAGGGTTCAGCCCCTCTGAACCATGCTGAAGCCTCAACCCCAAATACTGGGGTTGACGAGGTCTCGAGTCCGGAAGCCTTGGCAAAAAGGCTCATCACAGCTCTGATTAGGTAATAATGTTAGGGTTTAGGGTCTGGGGTTTCATCAACCGAAGAGTGCGAAATTAAGGGGTAAATGTCACGGAAAGAGGTGTGGGCCGATGATTGTAGCGGAACTAAGGCAGACTCTGCCCAGCGGAATGCCGACTTTTCGTCCGCGACCTTCATCTCATCGCCTTGGTGAAGTTTCCAGCCTTGTCAGACCGCCCCTCTTGCAGAACGCACTGAACGCGGGCTGATTGAAGTGTGGGTCCACTCTTCCGGCCTAGCAAGACCAAGCCGGAAGATTTCAAGAAGTCAGCATTGGCCCCGTCTGAAAACCACCCAACAATGACATCACTGATGTCTTTGAGCATGCGACCAGGGAGTGCGCCGACTGTCGGGCAATGACTAAATTCAAAAGTCACTGCAATTCTACGACGAACTCCGGTGTGTTGAGTCGCATCATCTGTCATTTGCGGCGCTCCCAACATTTGTCGAAAGTCTTGTATGCAGCTGCACTCTTGCCTCTGCAATGAAATGTTTGCAGAGCTCTGTCTCTGCTGTAGTACTATTTAGGGTACTATATTACGGTCTCCTATTTTCGGAAAGCCGCATGTTGGCATTTGGTTCATCAACTCAAGAATAAGAATAGTAGCAGCAAGACTAATCTCGTGGTCTTTCCCAGAAGAGTGGATCGTTGGGACATGATAAACTACATGTAAGACTATAACGCATAGGGATAATAAGGGAGTAGTGCCGCTACGAATTATTCCCAACTAGGCCAACACGAACCAGCCACGGTTTAAGGTTCAGAGTGAGTGTAGGACCCCTAAACCCTAAACCGCAACCCTAAACCCTAAACCCTAAACCGCAGTGTAGGGTTTAGGGTTATGGGGCGAGGCTGCCCTGAAACGATCTTGAAATTGAAAGCCTCAAATGCACAGCCAGCGTGCAGCAAGCTAACCGCAATCCGCACAGAATCTATTTTGGCCCTTAAAAAGCCTCCGAAGTATTTCCTAAGCAAGATACTCTTAGTCACAATACTGAAAATGTCCCCAACGCCTACCTAGCAATCCAATGAGACCTTGTTGAACCCTCCAAAAACCACGCCAGAAACACACACCCCGTGCTCATGAACCTGACTGCAACTGGCCAAAACCAAACCCCTGAACTCCGAGACTCGTAGGACCTTGACCCCTATGACTTTAACCCATACGTCCTGGGATCCTCAGCCAGCTAACCCTGAAGCCCTAAACCCTAATTTAGGGGGTTTAGGGCTTTAGGGTTTAGGGCCAGGGTTTAGGGTTTAGGGCTGAGGGTTTAGGGTTGAGGGTGTAGGGTTTGGGCTAAACCCTAATAAGCCCGAAACCTAACGCTGGCGGGAGGCCGCTGTTTGAATGAACTGGGAGTACATCTCATTGTCGACAAGCCCCAGACCTGATCTCTCAGATGCTCAGGGGACTTAGTGGGGTTCAATGTAGGGGCCTTGATAATTAGAATAGGGTTTGGGGGTATGTTATACTATGATCATAACAAGGGGGCCCAAGTTTGCTACCGGTAATTCTTTAGGCGTCTATATTAGGGTTTCGGGATATAGGCAGAATTCTTCTCGGGTTTTAAAACGGTTTCTAGAAGGGTCGTATCAGGGTTTAGGGGTTAGTTATTTAACGGATCAGCTGACATAGTAAGTCCTGGGTTATGAGCACGGTAGCTCTAGTTATATCTACTTACAACCTAAGACTAGTTTAGGCTTAGGGCTTGGGGTTTCGGGTTCAGGGTTCAGGGTTTAGGGTTTCGGGTTTCGGGTTTAAGCACTTACCCTACTTACTAAGCCCCCTGATCCGCTAAGTGAGATCACAGGAAGGCTCTGACATTTTTTCCACGAGTGACTGATGGAAAGGGTTGGTGTACAGGAGTACTTTATGGGTTGCAGGGGTAATGTAGGGGCCTAAACGCGAGTGTAGGGGTCCCTTATTATAAGTCTAGTATAATGGGCCCCAAGACCCTGTTCTAATTACTAAGACCCCTATATTAGAAGGGTTTGCGGGGCTGCAATAAGGGTTTAGGATTTAGGGCCTAAGGGTTCGGATTTAGAGTGTGCTGTGGGGATATGATGAATAATCCAGATAAATATGGGTGGACTACACGGGGATATTACAACGGCTTCAAGAGCGTTTGCTGCGCTTTATAGGTGGTGGTGGTGGGGGGGTTGCGATGCTGGACCACAGGACGGCCTTGAGGTCTGAGGCGCCAGCTACAAGGGTCACGGTGTGCGGGCACGTGGGAGTTTTAGCAGCTTCAGGACTTTTCAGTCTGGGCTGTGAGGTTTGGGGTTCGGGGGGTTTGGTTTTTAGGGTATAGTGTTTCGAGCCTTTGGTGCAGAGTTCGGGGGAGTTCAGGGTTCAAGGTTCTGGGCTTCACAATATGGGTTCACTGAGAACTGTGCTTCGCTTCGTCGTAAGAAGATGATCTACTTTAAACCGGAAAGAAGCGACCTAGTTGATTAGGGTTTAGGGTTTAGCGTTTAGGGTTTTGATCCGCGACCCTGTACTTAATCCATTTCCGTCCCTGGGGCAGGCTCCCTACACACGATGGAAGGTAACCTCAAACTCTGCAAAAGAATAGGTCTTTGCCATGGTCGTGACACTTGTAATAGTCGGTCATGACCGGGTTTAGGGTTTAGGGGACCCAATAATATGTATAGCCATACCTTAACCCGCCAGAACCTACCTTTTTGTTGGGTCCGTATCAATCCCATATTGGGGTTTATAATAAGAGCCTGCGAAAAAAGCGGTTTTGGTAGGCTAAGGTAGGTCCTAGCAACATGTAACGACTGTCTGTCTGGACAAGAGCTTATTCCGGGTAGACTGCTGTCGGCGCAATCCTATGGGTCAGAAGCCCCCAACAAACTCAGAGCCAAGGAGCTGCAACGCACATGTCAAGCATAGAACCCTCACTTGCAAGACCCGTAGTCTGGTTCCCTGTTGGGGGGTATATGAACAATGACCATTTTCAATCCTAAACCCTAAACCGAACAAAAATGTAAAACTGTAGCCAACAAGAACCCAGTATTTAGGAGCAGCCCCCAAATTATAGGAGCCCATGAAGATTAGAAAGCCTCTAGAGTCGTTTAGGGCTTTAGGGCTTTGGGTTTTAGGGTTTAGGGTCTTAGGCGACCTTAAACCCTAAACCCTAAACCGTGGGTTTAGGGTTTAGTGGTTTAGGGTCTAGGGGATTTAGGGGTTTAGGGCCCTAGAGCTCGGAGCCAAGGAGCTGTCTAGCTCGGTGAGCCAGGTCGGAACTTTCTTCTGCGCTTTGCCAGCTTCCGCAAACTTCGCGGACTTCGCCTCACAAGGTCGGCTCCTATTCTAACTATTAGGCCCCTAACCCTTATAGTAGCCCTTA